ATTGCGAAAAATATTACCTCGGCCGGGATTTGAACCCGGATCTCTTGTAAACCGTACGAGCGTCCTGAGCCATTAGACTACCGAGGCATATTCAGTGTTCAATTTGTTAATGATTAAGTAAATTAGTAAAAAGTATTATACATTTTATATTACTTTTTATTTCTTTTCCAGCGTTTTTAATAATTATCTTTAAAATTCATTAGGATTTTATCATAATTCAGTAGTTAGCTTCTGTTAATAAATTAATAAAAAATATTACATGTGTATTTTGCATTATTTTTCATATTTCTTTTCTTTTATTTTTAATAACTTTCTATAGAATCTATGATATTGCAGCATATTTCAGTGTTCAAATATTTGTTAATAAATCTGTGAAGATATATCTTACATTACTTTTTATACTTTTTTATTATTATATTTTTTCATCGTTTTTGATAATTATCTTCAGAATTCTTAATATTTTGGTATTAAACATATTATTTATACTAAAATGTATTCAGTATATTTTAGTTATTTTTATGTTTTGTTTCAATGATTTCACAAATACTTTCAACGATTCCATCTATTTATTTCTATCATAGTAGACATGCGCATCACCTTTAGGCTCCCGATAGATATGTTTTTTCATAAGTTTATAGGCAGCCTACAGAGCGTGTCTTAACGTTTCATAATCAATAGAGCCACAAGATAGTAAATTACAATGTTTTTAGATCAAACATTTAAATGGATAATCTTATTGCTCTTGTATTATTTACTCTTGTATTTGGCGTAAAATATTGATTGTGTCAAAAGGTCTGTTTTTTATAGTTGAACTAATGTTCACTCTGTATCTAAAGTAAAATAGGTATATGTTTTGACAAAAGTGAGAAAGAGAGTTTCAATATAAAAACTCTTATTATTATGTTATCATGCAAGAAATACAATATCTCCTTTGAAGAGATGAGTCGGGAGCCTAGAAGTTCGTGTGTCTTTACACCTTTTTATATTAAAAGAGAACATTATTAATGTATCTTATACTTGCATTATTATAACTGCAATATATATAAAATGCAATACATACTATTTCAGAGTCTTGGCGTTGTCTTATATGTATTAGTTTGCGGTGCTCTACCATTTGATGGACCTACAATGCAGTTGTTACGATCTGTGGTTGTCTCAGGGAAATTCAGAATACCATTTTTTATGTCTGCAGGTAAACAAGCTAATCTAATAAGCAATACTTTATACTTACTATTAATTAGTAACTTTCAAGGGGAGGTTACACACAATTAACTTTGCACCGCTTTTAATCAGGGAATAGAAATAAATAGTTACTGTAACTGCCGTTATTTAGTTACTTGGTTACCTTGTTGTAATAATGATTTGGTTATGGCGTTGCGTATTTTTTATGATAATGTAACACCAGTGTTGGAATAGTCAATAGTTATAATGGATTAGAAAAGTCATTCGTTACTGAAAACAAAACTCGCAATTTGTAACTTGTTACTTTTTAATGTAACTTGTAATGAGTAATTTTACGGCTTACTGGTTACTTATCTTTTTTTTTTTCGACAAATAACTCGTAATGATGACAATTTATTTTTTAAGGTAATTTTCCTAACCTCAGCTAAGTTGTTACAGTCATAAAAAATTGCAACATTATTATCAAATTGTTATTGTAAAAGTAATGGAAAAGTAACTTTTCTATTCCCTGCTTTTAACTTTTTTGAAATCTATATAAATAAAAATAGGCATTAATATTAAAAATTTTGATCTTTCTAATTTTAAACGCTCTATATGTATGATATAAGCAGTGTTTCCACTTTGAGGGAAAATTTTCTTTTTTGGAAAGATGGAATTTTTGAGGGGAAAAAAGAGAAAAGAGAAAAAATGAGGGAAAATACAAAAATTGAGAAAAAAAAAATAAAAATTTTCCTTTTTCTTTAAAGAAAGCGCGAATGTTTTGATTAGTTAATTTTATGATCTTGTCCTATCAATATGTGATATCTATCAATAGATAAATACATACAACAGGCACTTATGACTGTGTTCAAATATTATGCATCGTCTGTATTAAAAATCTATAGCTCACAACTTATACATATACTGTAGATTTTCAGTATTGTTCTGTAGATTTGTAGTGTATATCGGAATACCTGTAAAACAGAGTGTTTCATTGACACAGCGCTCGTGTGCAGGTAGAGGCGCACTGAGGCTAGACTGAGTTGAAAAATCATGTACTATTTTGTAATTTTCGTAATAGTTAACGAGATATTATATATAATTATTAAAAATCATCGAATAAGCCCAGCCCAATGTAAATGCGCGGCGAGATGCCGTCCAGCATTGTAGGCCCAGTCTCTGAAAAAGGGTTGAAATAGATTAAAAATTTTGAATCCATTTTAATACATTTGAATCCAAATTCTTGATCCATGTATAGAAAAGAATTAAACATAATAAAATTGAATCATTTTCTATTCATATACGGGAATAGAACATAATTCTTTTTTATGGATTCAAATGGATTCAAATAGATTTATTTTTTATGGACTCAGATGGATTTCAATTGTTAATCTGATATAAAATTAATTAATGTTATTGCTAAAATAAGTAAACTGGTACATCATATTCTAAAATGCACACACGACAAAATTATAATTAAAAAATCATTTTCACCTATATTAGCGAATTAATTTTTATGATGCTCTCAAACGGTCACTCATCTTGAAGCTGTATCACGTGTTTGACCTCTATAATCTTACGGGAACTGCTACTTCGATGATCCAACTGATACCTCGAATGTTAAGGGCATTCGTGAAAGAAATACAATTTAACTATATGTACAACTGTGTACATATAGTTAAATCGTATTTCTTTCACGAATGCTCTGAATATGATAGATTTCCTAACTTGAACAGTCTTCAATTTAAGATTAATTTCGCTTCACAAGATAAAGTGACGTTTTTTTCTGTCAGATTCTTTCGTTTCTTACAAAAAACGCGTCTAATGAACACATAATTTCATCAATATTAGAGCTGAGAATTCATTACTAGGGTTTACTTTGAAAAACATGAAATTATCTTTATTGAAATAAAAAAAACTTTGTTTCAATCCTGTGTCACGAATTAAAATGGATTCATGACCTTAAAAATTTTTTTTCGATTGAAAAGAATAAGACTCACTTTTTTTTATCTTGTATTATGGACAAAAATGGATTTGAAGCTCTCAAACCTGCATTGGATTGAAAGAAAAAAAATTACATAATTTTAATCCTATGTCACGGATTAAAATAAATTTCATGGCTTATTTTTCCCATAAAATTTTTTTTCGATTGAAAGACATACAAATCCTGTAGATTCAATTCCACGTCATGAATTAAATTGGATTCCGTGACACATTTTTTTCGTAAAACTTTTTCAATTGAGAGGAATTGGAATCCCGTAGTTTCAATCCCACGTCATGGATTAAAATGGATTCAAATATTGTTTATTTGAATTGGATTGAAAAGATTCAAAAAGTCCACAACTTGGATTCAGCAGTGACCAAACGAATCTATTTCAATTTATTTTAATCCATTTCCAGATACTGGGGGTTACTAGAGGAGCGCGAAGAATTTATATTACATGCAGCCATGGCTACATAGCGGTGTGGCGTGTTTCTGCGATAATTATGGCGTGTTCTTTTCTATCAAAATGAAAAAATTTTCAAGAATGGAAAATAACTCCTTATTTTAACTCGTTATGTAACGAATAAAGCAGAAATGAGCTATTTTTTTAATGATCAGCAGTAACGGATAATGGTAACGACTCAGTATCTGGAAAAGGATTGAGATGGGTAGAAATGAATTTGTGTAGTCATTGCCGAATCTAATTTTTTAATTTTTTGAATGCATTTTAATCAAGTTCAAGTTTAAGAATTCTTTGAATTTATTTTAATCCACGACGTGGGATTGAAATTACGGAATTCCTATTCTTTCAATCGAAAAAAAGTTTCGCGAGCCACGCAATCCATTTTAATCCATGAATTTAAATGACGTAATTGCTATTCTTTTAATCCAAAAGAGATTCAAGAGTCTCAAATCCGTTTTTGTCCATAATACAGGATGGAAACAAAGTGAGTCTTATTCTTTTTAATAAAAAAAATTCTTGGGTCTTGAATACATTTTTATTCATGACAGGATTGAAACGAAGTTATTCCGACAATGTAAAAAGATAATTTGGGAAATAAATCCTAGTAGCAATTTTTGCAGTTTAACTGAACATCCAGTTAATTATATTTAGATGTTCAGTTAAACTGCACAAATTTCTACAGCCAGGACCTCTAATTCATAACTGTGCTTCTTCTTTTCAGCATCCATTGTTTTCTTGCTCATGTATTGTACTGGATGAAGTTGTCCAGTGTCGTCCCGTTGAAGTAAAACGGCTCTATAGCCTTCGCTCGATGCATCAATGTGCAATTTTGTTTCCTTTTGATGATAAAAAATCTTTAAAACTAGGTTCGTAGATAACTTCTTTTAGTTGATTAAAAGCTGCTTCCTCTTCTAATCCGAACCGGAATGGTACATCCTTTTTAAGCAGCTTGAATAGTGGACGTGCCAGTCGGGCATAATCATGAATAAATTTTCTGAAGTATCTGGAGAGTTCCAGGAAACTCTGTACTTGTTTTTTCGTCGTAGGCCTCGCAAAGTGTGTTACTGCACTGATTTTCTTCGGTGACGGTTTAATCGGTCCGTTTTCTATCACGTGACATAAATATTCAATGCTATTCTTCAAAAATTGTGACTTCTTCCAGTTAAATTTCAATCCATACATCGATGCAGTTTCCAACACCATCTTTAATCGTTCTAGTGCCTGTTTGTTATTATTTGTCGGTATGATAAAATCACCCATATATATGTGTGAGTATTTCCTCTTAAGATTAACTCTTTGTTAATATTTCATTAACATAGCATTGGAACATTGAAGGACTGTTACACATGCCGAATGGACATCGTAGAAATTCGTATTGACCGTTTGGAATTATGATGGATGTGTATTTACGGCTCTCTTCTTCAACAGGCACGTGGAAACATCCATTTTTGAGGTCAAGCGCGGTAAATACCTTGGCCCCCGTCAATTTATCCAGTTGATCTTCTATTATCGGCAATGGGTAGTGGCAATGTCTCGTATAGTTTTTTTTGTTTAATTCTCTTAAGTCGCCGCAAATTCTAACATCTCCCGTTTTCTTCTTAACCAGGACGGTGGACTTGCATATTCGGATGAACTCGGTCTCACAATGCCATCCTCTAACCAATGTTTGATTTGTTTATCAACCTTTTGTTCTGATCATGATAATCTTCGTGGACATTAATATATTAGTTTGTCATCTTTCAGAATAATCTTCATCTAAACTTTTGTTTCCTTCAGAGTGACTAGTCTATAATCATTAACCAGCTTAGCAACAGCTTCCGAATGTTGTGAGTTGCCTATGTCAAGATCTAGCTTATTATTATTCAGCGTTATGTAGCATAAAGGCTCCTTCTCTTTGGTTTCCGATTGTTGATCATCCTCTCACAAATGTCCATCTCTTCTTCCTCTTTACGCGTTGTCGCATTTATCGTGTTCGGTGTCATAAATTTGAGATTATCCTGGTCGATTACTATCGTACTATTTTGTAGTAAAGACTGACTAAGTATCATGTCATATTGAATAGCACTGTCCGGAACGACGTGAACTTCCGTTTGAATGTTTATATTATCGGCTTTTATATTAGTTCTGAATCCGTCTATGGTTTTGATTTCATATTGACCCAATCCGGTTATCAAAATCGATCCAATGCTAAACACTGATTTTCCAAATTCACTGTACTTTTTATATTTTACAAAATTAGGTCAAAACGTGGTTGATATTAAAAACAAAAATCAAATAAGAAGCAATAAACTACTACGCCGGTTGTCAGAGGCGAAAATAATATATTATAAAAAGAATACAGAAAGACGTTTCGGTCTTAAATTAGACCATCTTCCGTTCAAGTGAGGCGAGATACAAAGGCAAAGTTAAATTAAATAATAAAAATTATAAAGCCGCTATTAACTACAATTCATTCTAATGTTTTTCGAATCAACGCAAATTTAGATCGTGCTGTTCACAATTTCATCTATGTACAAAATTAATTCTTCGGTAATTAATATTCCACGTCTATATCAGAAGGCCTTCGAAAAGCCACATAAAATCC